CCAGTAGGCCCTGATTAGATGACCTCAGGAACATCCTGGGTACCTATGGATGTAAAAGTTTACTGATGCAAGTTGGTGCATGAAGAGCTCCTTAAACCTTATGTTTAAGGCTGGAAATCACCTGTTACAGTTTCTGATCGCTTATAGCAGGTCATATAATTGTTGGCTTTTCTTTGTTTTCTCTGTAGTATTGTAGAGTCTTTACCTTACAATATAAAGCACCTTGAAAAAAAGTTACATTGAATTGAACTGGATTGAATTGAAATGCATGAATCACTAACCTGTGATCTTCCCTCACCCCTTGATAGCTTAGACTCCAGCTTACCCAGGACCCCAAACAAGACAAGCAGTACAAGTATGGATAGAGAATGGCTGAGAGGATGATGGATGATGATGGATTGATGGATGGATAGTGACTATGAAAGTATAGACCTGTCTCTGCTGTTTGACCTGGTAGTTACTAAAAATAATGGAGCTCTGTAAAATGTAAATAAAAGCAGAATGCAATGATCTGCCAATCATCGAATGCTTTTATTTTACTGAGAACACATGAAACATGTGAAAAGATATCTGTTGTTTTTTTTTTAGAATTTGATGTCAGCATATTTCAAAAAAGTTAGATAAGCTATAAACAACCTCAGACGTTTTAGTAAAACAGCAAATTAACATCTGCCATCTAATGATAATAATCCGTGATTGGGGTAAAAAAGATCTTCCCAGAGAAGGTTAGAGTTTCTGAGGTTTAAAAAAAAGTTTAGAACTCACTGAAGAAATGAAGAAATGAAGATTTCTAATTGTATGCATCTGTAAGTATTGCCTGATATACAGCTGCAGATAATTAATAGCTGACCCACGATGTTTCACAGGGTCTTCTAAGGAGCCTTCCCTTCCTGTCCAGTTGATTTGTTTCCAAGTTCCTTAGACTACGATGACCTGGATGACTGAGACCTACACAGGCATATTTAAAGAGTCTTCTGATTGGTGGTAATGGCTGTGTTCTTCCACTGGGTGGGGCTGTAATGGTGCTGCAAACCTATCAGCTGATCAACTCCTAAGAAAGAAACTTGTGAGGTGAAAGTGAGCAGCTGTCTGAGAGACTGTATTCCTAAACAAGAAAGGAAAGCACACACACACACACACACACACACACACACACACACACACACACACACACACACACACACACACACACACACACACACCTGAATGGATTAACTACACTTTACTTAATCTATTTTACACATTCATGTACACTTGCAGTTTGGACACACCTTCTCATTTAATGTTTTTTCTTTATTTTCACAACTATTTACATTGTAGATTCTAACTGAAGGCATTCAGTGAGATGTGCCTGAGGTGTGTTTGTGTTCATCGTCGTGTTGAAAAATAAATGATGGTATAACTAAAGGCAAACTGGATGGTATGTCGCTGCAGGATTCTGCTGTAGCCATGCTGGTTCAATGTGCCTTCAATTTTGAATAAATCCACCAACATTGTCACCAGCAAAGCACCATCACACCTTCTCCATGCTTCATTGTGGGAACCGTGCATGTAGAGCGCATCCATTCAGCTTTGCTGTGTCGCACAAAGACACAGTGGATGGAATCAAAGATCTCAAATTTGGACTCATCAGATCAAAGCACAGATTTCCACTGGTCTAATGTCCTTTCTTTGTGTTTCTTGACCCAAACAAATCTCTTCTGCTTGTTGCTTTTCCTTAGTAGTGGTTCCTGCAGTCTCCTCTGAACAGTTGATGTAGAGATGAGTCTGCTACTGGAACTCTGTGTGGCATTTATCTGGATTTATCTGGGCTCTTATCTGAGGTGCTGTTAACTTGTGATTTCTGAGGCCAGTGACTCAGAGGAATTTATCCTCAGCAGCAGGGGTGACTCTTGGTCTTCCTTTCCCTGGGGCGGTCCTCATATGAGCCAGTTTCATTATACAGCTTAATGGTTTTTGCGACTGCACTTGGGGACACATTCAAAGATTTAGCAATTTTCCAGACTGACTGACCTTCAGTTCTTAAAGTAATGATGGACTGCCATTTCTCTTTACTTTGCTGATTAGTTCTTGTTATAATATGATTTCTAACAGTTGTTAAATAAGCCTGTCAGCTGTGTAGCAACCTCACTTCTGCACAACAATGGGGTAATGGGGTTGGGACAAGAAGGCACAGATGAACCCTAACAAGACACCTGTGTCATGAAAACCATTTCAGGTGACTCCATCATGAAGCTCATTGAGAGAAGGCCAAGGGTTTGCAGTGCTGTCAACAAAGCAGGGGGCGGCTACTTTCACGAATCTAAAATATAAAACACATTTAGAGTTATTTATCAATGTTTTCTTTGCTACATAATTCCATATATCTTCAGATATTAGATTTTTTCAGTTTGTATCTATAATGTAGAAAGTAGTAAAATAAAGAAAAAGCATTGAATGAGAAGGTGTGTCCAAACTTTTGAACAGTAGTGTATATTCTGATCGTACAGGAAAGTGTGCTATTGAACATCTCCTACAAAGTGATGAAAGTGCACGACAGCTGTACACCAACATATCTTTTATTAATAAAGTGTTTTTTTTCTCAGACACCTGCTTGTGTTTAAATTGAGCAACTAATACACCATCCATGTTTTTGTCAAGCATGGTGTGAACCAAATCAGTAAAAATGCAGGATGATAGAGCAAAGCATTAAAGAAAGAAAGAAAGAAAGAAAGAAAGAAAGAAAAAGAAATTGATGAGGCGTGAAAGAAGCTGATGTGAATGGCCGATATTGAACAGAGGGAACAGCCAATATTGAACCACAACTGTCAACCACCTACAACAGTTTTGAGATCCCTTCCCAAGCGCTTCAACACCCACACGCAACTTGTGTCAGCTGACTTTCAGGTCACATGACACATGATAAGAGAACCAGAGAAACCTGGCCTGGACGAGAAAGTCTGACTCATCAGTTGGGTAATCGGTTTACTCCCTCCATCGGGATGGCCAAATGTGACTATTTTTTGACCTTAACCACTGATGACCGGAGATTTTGGCAAACTATAAAGTGTCTGCCAGCTCTCATTCCTCTGAGCTACCTCCTCACTTCATTATTGACTCCACTCCTGTGTCAGACAAAACTGAAATGTTCAATTGTTTTAACAAAAACTTTGTTGCTTCTTGTTCTTTGTTTAGCACAGTATCGGATGGGAAAATTCTTGCATACAACTTTTCTAGCAGTGCCCTGATAACTAATACTTTTTCCTTTAAACCTTTTATGGGAGAAGAAGCATGCAAGGCTTTGAAGAACCTCAACACTAAAAAGTCAACCTGTCCGGACAGTCTGTCTCCTTTCTTCTTGGGCCTGGCTGCAAGTATCATAGCTAAGTCAGATTTTTATTTTTTTAATTTTCCATACAACAGAATACATTACTGGAGATGTGGAATTGCGCCTTCGTACTCCCGCTACTGAAAAGTAATGATTCTTCAATGGTCAATAATTACAGACCAATTTTTAAACTCTGTGTCTCAGCTGAGGTTCTTGAAAGGCTGGTATATAATCAGCTTAAGAGTTACCTGGATGAAAATACTACATCTTCTTCCCAGTCTGGTTTTAGGATATTGCACAGTAATGTAACTGCTTCCTTAATTCTTATTGGCTGATGATTCTTATCAGCATCATGGCTGACCTGCATCACCCCATCATCCGGAAGTGGACTCTGAACTATCAGGAGCAGGTCGGCGAGATTGTCCAATAGCGTTCCGGCTCCTCCACACTGGACTCTCTTCTCCACACACTTCTTGGACTACATAACACTTTGCATAACACTCTCCTCTCACTTCCAATAGTTGCACTATTCGGTATTGCACTGTTTGACTCTGTGTATTGTATTTATTTATTCCTGTTTTCTACTTAAACTAAGAGTACAACACTATTGTACTTATCTTATTTCTGTATAGTTGTATATGTATATATATGTATATTCAAATTTTTTCAGATTTTTTACACTTTGCACCTTCGATCCAGGAGGACGATATTTTATCCCACTGTATGTTTGAGTGTATATTATTGGGTTGACAATAAAACTCAACTTGACTTGACTATTGTCCCATGGTTGATAGTGTCACTATGAGTACAAACCAAGCGGTGGTGCCAGCATCATGCTGTGGAAATGTTTTTCAGCAGCAGGAACTAGAAGACTAGTCAGGATGGAGGGAAAGATAAATACAGCGAGTCATCCCTGATGACAACCTGCTCCAGAGTTCTTTGCACCTTGGACTGGGGCAAAGCTTCATCTTCCAATTCAACAATGACAAAGTAAAGTAAAAGAAAATAAATGGAATCTGGTATGAAAATTGGTATTTAAAAAAGCTGTATATTTCTAAATTGACCAGTGCACTGTGATTTTTTTTAAACATATCTACCCCCACCCCCAAAAAACAAATAAAAAAGTGAACGTGACAAAATATTGGACAGTAATTCAGAGTCTAATAATAGACACAAAAGAAGTCTAATAATACAAAGTAAATAAAAGTTTGGGCAGCTGAGAAGTTGGTGGGAAGCTCAGGCCCTCGCTGTATTTTATAAATGTGTTAGCCTTTATATGTTAGCCTAAAACTCATCATCTCTCTTTATTTCTGTCTCTTAACATCAACATCACTCTGATATTACAGACACACCTTCCATTAATACCACACTGCTGCTGACTTCTGCCACTGATCAGGAATTAGGACCAACTGTGAACATGTTTTACCTGAGCTTAAGATAAGGTGCGACAAACGTTCCCAAAACATTTCTGCTGCCTTCATTTTTTTAACCTTTCAGATGAAAATAAAAATTGAGTAAATAAATTCTGTACATTTTTATTTAATAAAGATAAATTTTTAGTTTGACTTCGCCGCCACAGCTCGGCAGGCTCTCCGCTGACTGAAGGGACACCATCCAATTGCTGCCACACTCTCACACAACTCTGCCACTGCGACCACTGGAAGGTTAGAAAGAGGAATGTGCGTGCAGTCTATTTAAAAAGAAAAAAAAACTTTATTCATAATTAGATCTTTTACAAAAGCAGAGAAAATGGAGGAGGTGTCACATTTAAATCCCACAAAAAAAACAACAAAAAAAACCAAGATTAATGAGACAAATTAGTAATAATAACCCTTCAACCAATCACTGGCCTCCAATCAGATGTGAGCTAGCTGATGCTAACAAAAACCTGTGAGCAATAAAGTTTGAAACATTCAAACAGGAATGTGTTCAGCTGCTGGTCGAGTCTCTGAGTGAGAGGGACAGAGAGGGAGGGGTTTGGCATTTCCCGCTCACGGGCACAAGGCATTCTGGGAGTCTGTGTGCTTGTTGTGATAAGCATCTATTTCGAGTACTCCGCAGAGAAAAATACCCAGAATTCCTAAAACTCCTCTCTTAAAATCTGTCTCTGATCCGGCCCTGCCCCCTGAGCCTGTAAGTCATCCAATTACAGGCTGCCGAGGCCTTCTCCCACTCTGATTCGTTGGCCAGGCTGCAGGTTGAAGCTGAAGTCTTTGGGGGCCTCGAAAAGCAGAACGATGGTGGAGCCCAGGTTAAACTCCCCGACCGACTCTCCCTTCTGTAAGGCCACGCCCCCTTCACCAGCAAACTTCACCGTCTGGTCAGCAATGTAGCTGTGATCATGAAAGGAGCCTTTACTGTAACGAGGTGTGTTGGTCTGAAGCTCCTGAGCAATTAAAACAGGAAGTGTTAAAACCAACCATCAATCGATCAGTCAATCAGTTAATCAATATTTCACTATACAGAGTGAACGAGATAAGAAGGACCAACAAGAACTGATCAAAACAAAACGTTCAGAAAAACCACAGGAACACAAAGTAACGTCACCTGGTCAAAGTAAATTCTGATTGAACCGACGTTCGTGGCACCGACCGCCGTTAATGAGAAGAAGCCTTGCTGCCATTGGCCGGTGAGAACCACACGCTCGTTAAGGCAAAAGAGCTCTTTGATCCAACGAGCAACGCCTGGGTTCACCGACATTAACGAGCCTAACGAGGAAGGACACACAGGCGGGTCAGGGTGGGGGCGCAAAGACCACATGGCTGCACAGGTGAACACACTCTCACCTGGAAAGTGACGCCGAAGCTCCACCCTCCAGTCTGTGGGCGAATGGAAGCAGTGGTAGTCACCTGGAGCCAGGTAAATGACAACGTGGAAAAGGTCGCTGTCGGGAGACGAGAGGAGGTCGTCCCTGAAGGAGGAGGACGACGAGGAGTCTGAGGACAAAGAGAAGCCGGGGTTAAACAGGTAAACAACAAACAAACCTCAAAGATGCCCTCAGGGATTCAACAGGTGTGACTGCAAAGTGTCAAACTGAAGTCAGGAGACGAGGAGTCACACATACATTCAGGTGAAGTTCACAGAAAGTCGCTGTATCTTAGTTCTATCAAACCTGCTTAATATAAAACTCAGCAGGTTTTCAAACCTACAACACCTCAGGGGATTTTCACCTGCATGGTGAACAAATGTCATTTCCAAGAGAAATCATAAAAACTTTGAAGTCAGCTGGTCATTGTGGCAGGGTGTTCTTCCTTTTTTTCAGTGATGCCTGGACCTGGAGAGTTGTGTGGACGGGTGGGCCGAAGAAGTTCCCAGTTCCATTATTTTATTTATTATTATTTATTAATGATTCCTTATTTTTTCCACTAGTTTTTGAGCCTTTATAGGGTCCCACATGATCCCGCTTTTCATTTTATTAGACTTTGTGGAGGGGAAAATAAGTACTTTCATTTGCCATGTATTCCTTTCACATTTTCTATACAGGCGCTGTGGAGAGCATCCTCACACAGAACATGACATCGTGGTTTGGGAACAGCTGTGTGAAGGACCAAAAAGCTCTCCAGAGAGTGATCCGTACAGCAGAACGCTGCTGCAGGATTGCTCTCCCCCCGCTTCAGGACACCTACACCAGGAGATGCCGGACTAGAGCAGCGCAGATACTGAAGGACCCGTCCCATCCTGGCAACAAACTGTTCCAACTTCTGCAATCTTCCGGGCAAGGACAGAGAGACTCAAGAGGAGCTTCTATCCCCAAGCCATCCGTGCCCTAAACACACACACCCGCCCTCTCACATCATCTATAATTGACTGAGACAGGACTCTCTTCCAGACACTCTAAACCAAGGCACAATGTACATTTCAATTCCTTTAATTTTAAATATGTTTATATTGTCTATCCTGTAAAATAGTCAGATGTCTATTCATATTAATGTACAGAATTCACCTGCTTGCTGCTACTACTGCACATTCACCCAGTGTATATACTATATGTATATATATATATATATATATATATAATGTTCTTCCTCTACACCCCCCCCCAATTTTTGCACATGTCGAGGAGCGTGTCAGGCTACATTTCACTGTGTGTTATACTTGTATAACATGTGACAAATAAAGAACCTTGAACCTTGAACCTTGAACACATTAATATATTTTGATGCAATGTTTTATTGGGTATATTACATGACATAAAATATATCTGACGTTAGCGTTACAAAACTACACTACGTGAGTTGTACATATGGTCACCGTTACATGGAGGCGGTCTGGTCTTACCTTTGCACCGCCTCTTCTGTGGTCCGAGGAAATGTTCCAGACTGTAGGTGACCCCCTTCACCTGCTCCACCTCTGAGTTCTTTACGCGACCAAAGTGGAGGATCCTTCCATCAGCCGGAGAGGTCTGGAAGAGGCCGGAGACCCCAAACAACCAGGTTAACCCCCAAGTTTAATTGCCTAGTTTAATGTTATCTCACAGGTTAACCCCTGGTCTAGCTCCAAGTTTAACTTCGTCTCCCAGTATCTTTCACATTAGCTTCAGTTAAACTGGGCGATAGAATTGATTTTATCTTCCATCACAAAATGTATTGATCTTTAATGATTCACAGAGTTTCACTAGTTGCACATGTTGTCATGTTACAGCTCTATTCCAAAATTAATTCAATTAATTTTTCACCTAAAAATTCTATACACAATAGCCCACATTGACAAAGGCAAATGTTTGCTGAAATTATTTTTATTATTAAAATGTAAAAAACACAAATATAACAAGTATTAAGCAGCAACAGCATTTATTTATTAATTCAATTCACTTTTATTTATACAGCGCCAAATCACAACAAAGGTCATCTAAAGGCGCTCCATATTGTAAGTTAGACGCTACAATAATATAGAGATGGCACAATACTACTTTTTTATGTCTGATACCAATACCACAAATTTGGATATCTACCGATACCGATACGAATCCGTCTATTTTATAATAAATAAAACTTTTTGTTTTTAAATGTCTTGCTGCATTTTGCATACGTTCATACCAAAATTTAAAAACAAAAAACAAAAAACACTATTACACTTGTCTGCAAAAAATACACTGCACCCAAAAATATTTCAGTTTAGCAATACTGATCTTTTTAAATCAAAGTATTTAAAGTAACATTCAAATAGTAATTTAAAATGCAATTTTATGCAGATTTCAAAAACTCTTTGTTTCTGAAAAAAAGAAGTGCAATATCAGCACAAAATTATGTTTATACTCAACAACTTCAGGTTGTAGAATGGACCCTTTAAGCTTAACAATAAATAGACATCCAGAGTGGAAAGCAGTGCAAAAAAATGCAAACACGGCCTCTCACAACACTCATCTTTTATCAAGTCAGTGTAAGCTGTTTGTCTGACATTTAACCTGAGACTGAAATTTGTGCAAATTCTACAAAAAAACTTAAAACAAGTGTGAAAAAAAAAGAAGTGTTTTTCATAGGTTTTTTTTCTCCGAACCACGAAACTGTTTAGCCATGTGTCGTCCCAAGGTAGGTATCTCTGACAGAATTAGTTTCCCCTGCATCACGCTGGGCTCTCCAAATCACAAACAAACAGTATCTCACATTCTTGATTTTTAGTTCACAAACACTTCTTATAATGACTCCTGAAACTTTGCACGTTTTAGCTCTTTATACAGTAAAGTTATAGGACAATAAAAATAATTATCAGGCAAAATGTCCTTCATTAGTTAAAATAATCCTGTCTGATACCACGTGAGAATAATAAATATATTATAACCCTCATACTAAATGGTAATCTAACAACACTCATTTTTCACTTTTTCACAAAACTAAAACATCACTACTTCCACGTCTAATTGTCTGTAATGAAGGTGGAGTAAACTAGATCCGCACTCCGTGCCCAGCGAATCCTCGCAACACAGGGGGAACAAATTTTGTCGGGGATACCTACCTTGGCACAACACCTGGTTTGGCAGCACGTAGCGAGGCTCTGAATGCTTTCAGTGTGAACTCCAGATCGCCAACAGGTCTCCCATTCTTCTTTGCAGAACCTCTCGAGCTCCATCAGGCTGGATGAGGAACATCAGCGCATAGAAATCTTCAGATTTCTCCAGAGATGTTTAATCGGGTTCAAGGCTGGTCTCTGTCTGGGCCTCTTGAGGACATTCACAGCATGGTCCTGCAGAAGCCTATCCTTTGTTATCTCAGCTGTGTGTTGAAGGTCGTTGTCCTGTTGGTGTTAGATGAAGATTTGCCCCCCCCCCCATCTTGCCCTCTACCCTGACTAGTCTCCCAGTTACTGCTGCAAAAGTACATCTCCACAGCATGATGCTGCCACCACCTTGCTTCTCTATAGGGATGGTACTGGTCAGGTGATGAGCGATGCCTGGTTTCCTCCAGACATGACACTTCACATTCAGGCCAACAAGTTCCATCTTTGTGTCATCAGATAATTTTGGTTCCATGGTCTGAAAGTCCTTCAGGTGCCTTTTGGCAAACTCCATGCAGGCTGTCATGTGCTTTTTACTGAGGAGTGGCTTCAGTCTGCCTGCTCTAGCATACAGGCCTGATTGGTGGAGTGCTGCAGAAATGGTTGTCCTTCTGGAACGTTCTTCTCTTTCCACAGAGCAATGCTCTCGGTCACCTCTGAGGCCCTTCTACCCTGATCGCTCAGATTGGCTCGGCGCCCAGTTCTAGGAAGAGCTTGGTTGGTGTCAAACTTCTTCCAATTACAGATGATGGAGGCCTGTGTGCTCATGGAGACCTTTCCTGTACCCTTCAGTAGATCTGTCTCCATGCAATCCTACAGACAGTTCCTTAGACTTCCTGGCTTGGATTGTGCTTTGACATGTACTCACAGTACTCAGCTATGGTACCTTATAGACAGGTGTGTGCCCTTCCAAATCATGTCCACTCTACTGAATTTACCACAGGTGGACTCCAGTCAAGCTGTAGAAACATGTGACCGATGATCGGTGGAAACACGAAGCACATGAATTCAATTTTGCGTCTCGTGGAAAAGGCTGTGAATACTTATGTATATGTTACATTTTTGTTTTGTTCTTTTATTTTTAATAAATTTGCAGTAATTTTAAGCCAACTGTTTTCACTTCATCATTCTGGGGTAATATATGTAAAATGAATTTCAGAATAGGGCTGTAACATGACAACATGCGCAACAACTGAAGCTCTCTTGATACTTTCCTGAGGCACGGCAACGTTATCTCTCAGTTTAACCATGTTTATCTCCCAGTTTAGACCCTGTCTAAGCAGGAGGAGGAGCAGGTTACCAGGCAGGAGGAGGCGCAGAGTGGTCGGACTGCAGGTTTAAGGCGTCGCCTGAAAAATTCTCCTAGATTTCTGTAATGATGTAAATCCTCCACTGCTGCCTCCTGGTGGACAAACAGAGGAACAAACAAACTTTATTTAATAGTAATAAAGAAAACAAAATGGCCAAATAAACAAACTGAGCATGTCCTGACCTGCATGTTCACGCCAAAGGTCCAGATATACAGGGAGTAGATGGGTTTCCGAAGCCAAGTGGGGAGCTCCACCCCATTCAGACGACCCCACGCCCGAGAGAGGAGTCGAGTAGGGAAGGAACGGTACAATGCCACCTGTAGGAGGAAACAGCAGCTACACCTTTGAATTTATTTACATGAGTGGATAAAATGACAAATGACGAGTCATTCTATAGACTGGAGTAAAAAGAGAGAAAGTAAAGGAGGAGTTTTGGGGCAGTCGTGGGTAAGAAGAGAATGGATAAATAGGGGTAGGGGACTAAAGTTTAGATGTCCAACAGTTTTTTAGGGTAATTGAATCCAATCGATGGGACAGATCAATAAGTTTGTTATCAGTGATCAATAAGGTGTTCTGTTTGTGTTTCTGCTTCTGATTGTTTCACGCTTTCATTTTCAAAATGCAGACTGGAAATGTTGCGTCACTGCATCAACTGGTCGATTGAGCAGATATTGATCAGAGGAGACAGGAAAGGAGGTGAAGCAGGATGTACGAATATGGCTGCTGCCCGCCTTGCACTTCAACCAATCAGAGGCTTCTTACCCGGCAGGCCAGTGGCCGCAGAGTGCTCACAGACAGGATATAGCACAGGAAGGAGATTGGCCGGTGGCGCCATGCGGCAGGGCGACTCACGCCACCCTTGAGCGCGCTCAGACGGTGACGAAGAGCCAAACGAGGGACCTGAAGCCTGATTATAATAACGAGATTTAACGTGAACATGAATATTTTTCAAATACAAGAAAAAAAATAAACCAGAACAGCTGATGAGTCCAAGTCATGTAAACAGGCGGGTGTAGGCAGGTGAGGAGAAGGCGGGGCTTGTGCGTGGGGAGAGGCGGAGGAGGAGCAGACGCTAAAAGATAAGAACACTAAAAGAATTCTAACAGGGATGGAGACTGATGTCATGATGTCATGATGTCATTAACTCCCCCAAAATAAACTCTCAGCAGCTGGAGTGATGCCATTTATTTTTATATTCTTCAGCCAATAAGATTCAAGGTGCTCACCTGGATACATGAGTCTGACAGAGTGTGTGTGTGTGTGTGTGTGTGTGTGTGTGTGTGTGTGTGTGTGTGTGTGAGAAAGCGAGTGAGCGAATGTATGTGTGAGAGAAAGTAAGCAATGAATGTGCGTGAGAGCGTTTAGGAAGGGGGGTTTCTACGGTGACTGCTTGCTTAGCAGGTCAGCTATTTTAGCTTTAGCCTAGCTTAGTGTGTTAGCCTCTTTCCATTTGATCCTGTGCTAACCTGCAAACCCAGTTAGATAACCACTGATGCTAATCCTGCTGCAACACACACACACACACACACACACACACACACACACACACACACACACACTTCTTTCACGCCTGAGACTCTTGAGAGTCCTGTTTTCAGAGGGTCAAAAGTATTTGGACATGTCAACAACATTTAAATGTAAGAACGGTTTGACTGCTGAAGAACCCACAGACTGCTGTGTCTCCTCCTTCAGCTGGCTTCTTCTCTCTGCCTTCAGTTTTAATTACTGAAATGCTGGCCTGAGATCAGCTCTTGGACTTTTCTCTCCCATCATTCTGGTTCAGCTTCATCTTGTTTGTCTGTCTAAAGATCATTTTTCAGATGTTTTAAAGTCAGATCTTCCTGAGTGAGGTTAGTAAGCGCCGCGTTTCCCTCCATGACGGCATCTCTTGATCACAGACCTTCTCCTCACAGAGACTTCTGATGTTGTGAAGCTGTTTTTCTGAACATGCAAATAATTTTGTCATCACCTTTAGTGCCCTCTCTGCTCTCTCAGGTCTGTTGCTGAGCTGATCAGTGATTCATTCTTTTTAACAGTGATCGAGTTTATTGATTGGGACACTGATAAAAAGTTTCTGCTCTGTGACTGCTATATTTTGGTGTTTCAGATCAATGATGGCCTCTCTCACCTGCACTAACGTCTCTTTGGGCCTCATATTTTGAACATGAAAACCATAAAAATTCAGAGATCACCTCTGCTTCGCGAGTCCTGGAATAACATCAACCGTCGGATTACTTCTGACCCTGTGAAGACGGTGGCCCGAGTATTACCTGCACTTCCTGATCTGTGGATCTGATTCGTTAAATTTTAAACTTTGAGCGGCATCCTCTGTCCCTTCCTGTTGTGCTTCTAAATGAAACTGTACTCACTGTTTGTGTAAATAAAGTTTTTCTCTACTTCCTCTCCCACCTGAATTGTGCTGTCGTTCTCCTCCTCACTCCTCGCCCTCCTCCATCTTTCTCGCTCTCTCCTTTGGGAGTTCGCCTCTGCCGCCTCACCTGCCGCAGCAGGGCACTCTCACCACGCCTCCTGTCGCCACGGCGACCAGAGAAAAACCTCACCATGAACGAGCGTTGGGCGAAGACGCCGTCGCAGGAGAGCGAACCGGCCGACGACACATCAGGATGACGAAGAGTTAAAGAGGTGAGAGAGAAAGAGGAGTGTCCGTGGAGAGCAGACGGAGAAATGAGAGAGAGACGGAGGAACGCACAGAGGAGGAGGAGGAGGAGGGCATAACGCTGAACAGCTCCTCCTCTGTTTATTAATAGCATGAAGGAGGAAGAAACTGTCAATCATTAATCACTGATCATCCATTCACACTGAATCTTAAATAAAAGCTTCATTTTTTATTCTCAGGGTTAAAATCATTTTTATTTTGGAAAACACTCATGCAGATTATAAACACTCAAAAATTAAAAGTTTGTTTTGTTATATTTCTCCTCCCTGTAATTTTTCCATGTTTGAGGAATTAAAACAGAAAAATGGTTAAAATACTTTTGTTGAGGATAAAATTTAAAATTAAAGATTAAAAAATTTTATTAAAAAAGAAACAGCCATTGTTAAATTATTGATCAAATTGTGACAGTTTTTATTATTTTAAATGAGTGTTTAGAATGAAATTATTATTTAACTATTAAAACTATTATTTCAATTAATTTTTTTTGTTTTTAAATTACAAATCTGCACCAAAACAAATAAAATAACTGAAATAAATTTATATTTCAACACTTTATGAAGAGTTTATAAATAAAGCTCATCTTGTAACCGGAAGGTTACCGGTTCGATCCCCTGCTCTGTCTGTCTTGGTCTTTGTGTCCTTGGGCAAGACACTTCACCTACCACCTACCAATGGCGCGATATGGCAGCCTCGCTTCTGTCAGTCTGCCCCAGGGCAGCTGTGGCTACAACTGTAGCTTATCTCCACCAGTGTGTGAATGTGAGAGTGAATGAATAGTGGAATTGTAAAGCGCTTTGAGGGTCTAGAAAAGTGCTTTATAGATGCAATCCATTATTATTATTATTATTGTTATTATTATTATTTTTAAATTTATTTTGTCAGTATTATTTAATTATTTTTATTCTCTGATAAAAAGTATTAAAATTATTGTGTTTTTCTTTTAAAAGCAGAAATGAAAAAAGCCTGATCATTAAACCTGCAAATAAAGACTTTTGTGCCAGTCACAGGCCAACCAATCAGAGCAAGACAACCGTGAGGAGAGGGGCGGGGCCTGCCTGAGTGACCGAGCTGTGTGACATAACATCACCTTTCACCCAGATAACCAACCAACCAGCTGACCTGCTGTGATGTCACCATATGTTGAGGTTGAGGTTTTGTTTTTTTAAAAGGTGAATGTGGCAGCTTCCAGGTGAGGCAGGCGTGACAGGTTAGTTCAGGGGTGTCGAACTACAGGCCTCAAGGGTCGGTGTCCTGCATGTTTTAGATATCACCCTGGGTCAACACACCTGAATCAAATGATTAGTTCATTACCAGGGATTTGGAGAACTTCAAGACAGGAGGTAATTTAGCCATTTAAATCAGCTGCAATGGATCAAGGACAACTAAAACCTGCAGGACACCGACCTTTGAGGCCTGAAGTTCGACACCTGTGGGTTAGCTGATCTTAACAGGAAGTGAGGTGTCCTGTTCTATCAGCCAATGGTTAGTTAAAGCACAAACTTATAGATCAACTGTCAATAATCAATAGCTCGTCTGCCTTCTGTCATCACAGAGTAACTTTTAAAGAAACTCAGCAGAATCGCATCATCATTACATCATCACCCTGAGCCTTCAAGCACACAGGTGAGGTGTTACTGACACGTGAGATCAAAACTAGTATTTCATTATTTCAACTCGGTAACTACAGTGATGAATAGGAGGCGGAGGGCATAATGTCAGCGGTTCAGAGGGGGAGGAGTCAGTCGAACAGGTGACAGTCCAGTTTAAGCTCAGAGTGGGAGGAGGAGGAAGGGTTTATGGGCTGTTTGTGTCCTCTGATAGATTCCCTGTAATAACTGATAACTGACTGTTGTGTAACGCTGACCGCCATCACACCACGTTTCATCTCACAGCAACCTTTGACCTATCCTCAGCTGCTGACACAGCTGGCCTTCTGACTGACACATTTCAGTGTTTAATCGTTTCTGTCACGGCTCCACAAACCCCCTGCATCTCTTTCAAAATAAAAGCATGAATTCTTACTGAGCCACTGTAAGTCCTCCTGTCGTCAGTGAGAGCCCACGAGCCCATGGCACCAACGCCAGCGGCTGCAAAACACTTCCAGAGGCCTCAGAGCATCAAAACCTTCACAAGCACCGCTGATGATGTGATCACCACTATGCTGTAATCCTCCGGATATGATTTTAAACAGAGAGACAATCTAAACACAGTCTCACACACACAGACACTTTAGTTACAACGTAAGGTTTTTTAAGAGCTTTAAAATGACTAGTGGCAATAAAAACTGAGAGAGAGTATAAGAATGTGTAAGAATGAGTCCATTTACAGGTTCACTCTGATTCACCGTAGGGGAAATTTGGGGCTCAGTTTTGACCTGAGGACTCTGCCATGCAGACCAGGAGAGCAGGAAATCAAACCATGGACCCACAGCGCCCCCCTCAGGCCCATGAATCTATACGTTTGTGTTTAAAATCACGTAAATAATCAAAAAACTAATTTTATCTTCTTCAGTTACTGTAAAAATAAAAGGCTTCTTTCTTCTGTAAACATAATCAATGAACCGACGCTCTGACTGTAAATAAAGTTTGGAACAAACCGAAGGCCCGAGGAACTGCTTCCTGTACATTTGGTTTGTTTCCTGTTCAAGATTTTCATTTTTCTGTGAATTTAAATTTTTTTTAAAAAGTGTTTCAATCATCGAGGAGCTCAATCAATATGAGCCCAATGCTTCCTGTCGCCGCTGTCACAGAAATGTTTAAATATCTGTGGAGTTGTTGTTTAAACGTTGCGCGAGTAGGTCGTCCTTAAGTGTTTCTGAGTTTTTTCTTTGAAATGAGGCGAACAGATTTTATTGAGTCAATTTATTTGGGGAGAAACTCAAAAAATTTCAAGCGTTTTGTTTCTGATGACCAGAATCAGCATCTTCCACCTGACAGCCGAACGTCTCGATTTTACTTCGCAGAGACAATTTTTCCCATGCTGCCACCGACCAATCACAGAAATGAGAGCTACAAACACGTCGCAGGTAAACAAAAGGCACTGACGCCGCGTTCATTGTGAGTCCGACTGCACGTGCTCAGTGTTACAAGGCAAGTGAGGAGACATCAGAGAAAGTTTTCACTTTACCTGTGTGGGTGTAGCCACAGGGGGCGGGGCTCCATCCTCCCCCTGGCCCCACTTCTGGTACTGCTTGTAACCAAGGTAACCACCACCAGTCACCAATAGGAAGGGCAGGGGCCGGGGGCCTGGCAGAAGCCCACGTCCTGAAGAGACAACGAGAGCCGATTGGACTACAGAGATTACATCATCCACAAACAAACAACAGCTGAAGAGCTCTGTCTTCTCCAGTTTTGGGGTGGGGGGGCTCACCTGTGCTGAAGCGTCTGCAGCTCTGAGAGAAAACTCTGAAAAACAGGAAGGACACTCAAACTGATCAATCAGATCACATCAGTGATCAATACATGAGACGTTCAGCGTCAGAGAGCACAGGTATCGCCCCTAGTGGACACCTGACACGTTCAGTGGCTTTAAATGAACGAGACACTTAAAATTCTGGTCTCTCTGAGTTTCAGAAAACAAAGATGCTAAATGGTTAATGACTCATTATCGAAAGCGACACTGAAAAGCTTAAAAAGAATGTATGTGTGTGAAGGTTCTCGGACATCCAGGTCATCGTAGTCCAAAAAGCTTCTTCGGCTCTTCCTTTATAAACAGGTGAGATGAAGAACAGATAAATACCTGCCGCTGCTCCATACCCTCCGAAAGGCCGCCGCCATCTTGTGTTTCCGGACGTGACGTATGACGTCGTGCGTAAGAGCACTACTGGAACGAAGCCCCGCTCCCCCTTTGTCCCACGTGAGGAAACACAAGTATTTCGGTTTATTCTTGATTAAAAAGCTTAAACGATCATAGACGATTTATTGATTTTAAGATGTAATTATTGTTCAATTACGTAACATCCTGATAGCCAAACATGCTCCCACTCTGGACCACACTACTTCACCTAAAGAGCAAACGGGTAGTGATGGGACGTTCTGTATCGAGGCTTCGGAGCGTGTGTCGAGTAATGGAGGGGGCGTTTCCGCGAAGCGCGTATCGAGGCTTGCTTCATTTATGGGAGGAGCTGAAAATGATGACGTCCGAAGCCTCGCTGCCCGGCTGTACCACGTGACTGGTTCATGAAGTGGTTCGAACTTTGCCGCGAGATATGACAGCGATATAAACCCCTCAGACTTCATTCAAAAATGTGGTTGTTTGATGGAGAGTTGCGGTTAGTGAGAGTTTGGAGACCGTTTGGAGGTTTATGAGAGTGAGGAAAGTCAGGAGAGAATGGAGCCAGCTAAGAAGAGGAGGATGTCCTCCCCTGTGTGGGAACATTTTGATCTTATTCCTCCCAACAAGGTATGTAAATTTCTACAGAAGATGTATTTTCATGATACTGATGGTGCAATACAATTTATGTTGAGCTGTCTTGACTTTTGTACAAGGTGAAGTGTTTTCTATGTGCCAGGGAGCTGGGATATAACAGCAACACCTCATCCATGCTTAGGCACTACAGAGCTTTGCATGAGAATAAGGGGGACACCGATTGTGGAGCAAGACCAGGTGAGCCATCAAATGCAATGATAATATAGCATGCAGTAATGTTACTAAATGATATAACAATATTATACAACTGTTATAAGTTACGTATGTGATATTTATATTTGTGCTTTATCTTTATTGTCTTTCCTCAGGAGAACAATCTCAAATAGATGAAGACCTGGTCAGCATGGTGATTGAGGACTCCCAGCCATTTAGCATTGTGGAGGACAAAGGATTCAAAAGATTTGTTAAATCATTAAATCCTAGCTATGTTCTCCCCACTAAAAAGGTCATAAAAGCAGTGAAAATTTAGTTTTTACAGAATAAAATGTGAACAGGCAGTGTGTAGCTGTCCATACCTCAACGTTACAAAAGCACAACTACTGTCCACACCCCAACCACACCTCACAGTAAATGATCATTTCCATTTCAAGCATTGCCAAATAATCATTTCCCATACTGCCACTATAAATATACACAGTATACTGCCATCACTACAATATACATGTTTTACACACTCCTTTTGTTGTTGACATTTACAGGCTGTGTGCAAAATGCCACACTCTTCAAATTCATGCCAGCTATTATTTTTACGTCCAGTAGGTGTCCTGCTAGAGCAAATGAAGCTTCATGAAGCTTCGCGTTGGGGTGAACCAATTGGATGAAAAGCTTCAGTGCTTCATGGGGCTTCATCTGCCCATCACTACAAACGGGTCTCCCGATCACCTGGAACAGCTGGGACAGATATGTCAGCGGGCTCTTCATCCACTACAGCTCCGCCTTCAAAACGCCCCCCTCTCCACCTGCTCGTACTCACCGACCGCCCACAGAAGGTCAAACTGAGCCCACAGCTCCACACCTGCTCACTCTAGCAGCACCACAGTGGATTCAGATTGACACTGCTGCGGTTCATCCATAGACAGGAAGTAAGCCAGAAACCTCTGAGGGGCTTTAATGTGAAGACAATCGGCGGATCAGTCACGTTAACCCTCAGCTTGCTGGTGTCTTATCCAAGTGACATGGTGTGAGTCACGTGGTGTGATGGTGTAGTTTATTATTGGTGTGAAATCAGTGAAAATCTTAACTAGCAACCAGCCAACAACATAATCAGTGTAAACAGACTGAGGATTATTGATTATCTGGTTATTATTTGGTGTGAGACCTTGAGAGTTTATGAAAACTGTCAATTTTAATTACTTTTTGTGAAAATCTGAGTAGATACAAAGAAGGAAACAGTGGTATCAAACATACGGCCTGGGTACCAGGATCGGCCAGCAGGATGTGAACTTCGTAGAGCAGGTCAGAAGCCGCGAAGACCTTCTCCCTCTCTGGCTGCGGCCCATCACATCAGTCGTCTGTCAAGCCTCAGATTGATGACACAAAGATTAATCTTCAGTCTGCGTGTTTGTGGACAGCTGCGTTCCTAGGGATCCTGCAGGGGTGCTTCAGGATTACGCTGTCTCTGAGCTGCACTCAGAGCTGCCGAGCGACTCCAATCATGACTCTTATGGACAGAAGCCTGGAGTGGAGGAGGATGGAGGTTTGATGATGTTGTGGTCTCTGAGGTAGTTTTGCTGGATTCATCAGGTGGTGTCCTGCAGCTCAGTGAAAGCCAACGTACTCCGCAGGAAAAGGGTGTTGAGCCTGTTTTAGATGGAGGCGGTAAAGCAGGTTGTTTTCATGAGTGATGGAGGTGGGACCAGAGCATGGGCATGGTGCCATGTGAGCACACAGGTAGATACGTACCCACACTCACCCCAGACATGCCGGAGAGACCTCTGACAGATTACAGATAATGTGTAAATTTTAGGATTTCCTATTTTGTCATGGTAACAAACTGTCTGACCTCCCATCTGTTTCATCAGTTCAGTTTCTGTTTGCCTCTGAGCTGCATGGCAGTACCGATCTGCAGCATAAGGTCATTTCCCATCTCTCTGTTAAAGGAGCCAATCAGATCAGTCCAAAAATTAATGATTGCAGTAACTGATCCTTCACAGCCACGGCTGATTGATCAGGAACCACAAACTCTGACACTCCTCTGTGATCCAGCGTTGTTCAGGAGTGTTGATCCAGTATGAGCAAACATTAATGTCCTCTGATCCAGGTGCACACTAACGAGCTCAGGCAAGAAAGTGAGTCCTCCAGGTAATCAGTCTCTTTAAACAGGAACAAAGGGGAACTTTACTGATAATCAAATATCATTATTATGTTAGCAAGTCAACAAGCACATACACAGGAGGTGTTCCTCAATGACCTCTGAATTCAGAAAAATCAAACCAAAAACGTTCCGAGACCAGAAAAACTTTATTGATTCAAAAATAGACTCAGCACACAACATACACACTGCAGGCCTGCAGTACAAAGAGTACTGCACATAACTCTACCCCGTACCATAGAGTACTGGGGGTGGGGGAGGAGAGGGGGACATCTTTAATATTAGCAAAAATGAAAACTTAGAAAAGAAAAAAAAAAAAAGGAGTTAGGTTTTACAGTCCGAGTCACAGGTATCCAATCAGCAGCTTAGTGTCTATAATAAGCCCCACCCTCTTAAAAAGGCTCGAAGGACGTTTTGTCATATTTTCTCAGGTGAGCCTATAGAGGGTATGGTCAGCAGCAGGGGCATGGCCTTACACACTATAAAAAGATCAAAGCAGGTTTATGTTTCACATCTTCATCGTAACCCAAAACAAAAAAATCCAAAAAAGCCTGCCCACCACATCACCTGATGGCGTTACTATGGTGACACTCAGTCAGTGGGCATAGTAGCAGCTCAGTTTTTTGGCCTTTTGTTAGCTGATAAGAAGTGATATCAGAGCTCATACATCCAGACCCTGCCGAGTCAGGAAGTCTTCAAGCGCGCTCAGTCGCTCCACCAGCATCACGTCCAAGTCCATGTCCTCGCCACCATTGCTGTGGCAATGTCGCCGAGCAGCTGCTCTTTTCCTGGGTACCATAGCAGCAGGAAGTCCCGCCCCTAAACACAAAGAATTTTTCTTCAATCTCACAGTTGATGACAAACAGCTAATCAATAATGAGTAACCACTCTCAGTGTGCCTAGGACAACCTCCCTAATGCAAACTACATTTCCCAGTGTACCTTGTGGTCTCTTCCTTTTTCTGGGCTGCGTGAAATCAGGAAAGAGGAGGAGCCTGCGCCTCTTCTGCTGGCCAATTAGGAGCAGTGCTCCGTCCTTTTCCCGAGGCTCCTCAAAGATGGTTTCCAGACTTCTGCAGGAACAAGCAAACCATGCTGGGAGATGGAGTTTGGATATGGAACCATATTAACATAAAGGGCATGTACAGTCTTTACAGAAAAAACCCTTCACCTGTCATTAGTAGGGATTTGTAGTCTTACCTGTTGTTAGCAGGGGATCTGTAGTTCTTGTTGGTGTAAATCTCCTCTAGACTGAACTCTTTCTTCTTTATTCTGAGAAAGCAAATGTGGGTCCACATTTGAAATAATGTTGGCACTTTTACTGTACATCTAAGTTTTTAGTTTCTTTCCTGACCTTTTGACCTTTGGTAGTCCCATTGGTGTAAGCAGCATTTCGCGCGGTGGCGCACGCCGGATTCTGATCTGTGAGACCCGTTTACCATGCTGCTGTAAAAAAATAAAATAAAATTACTGATAGAGTCCCTGTTATTTAATATTTAACCTGGAAGTGGTCTAGGTCACATTAAGGTTCAACATTATGGTGTGCATGGGGCTTGAAACACTTTGGATAGGATCCCAGGACTTCACTGTAGGACTCCACCTCTGTTCAGTGATGGACGTTCATAGTGGTCGTAGATGGCATCCTTTACCCCTCTCAAACTATGTGTGCTCTTAGTCCAAAATATTACATTTAGCATCTTCAAAGAGTAACCTTTGACCTTTTGGTGTAGGTGTTCAGGTGGGTCCAATGACTGTAGAAAATGACACGACAGCACTTCCTCCCATTGTGCAAAAATGAAGCCAAAATATCCTGCTTCTGGAGGCTGCCATCTTGCAATTTCGGAGCCAGAGTCTACAAACTAGTGACTTGAGGTGGAAGTGGAGCGACTGTGTCCCGCTCCCACCCACACACCCTCTGGATGTGACCGCAAACACGACCCCCCATATGGAAAAGAAATAGTAAAAACATATATGATTTACTCATGAAAGTGGCCACTTTCTCATTACTTTCATTTTTTTTTTTTAGTAAGTATACAAAACATACAAGTTTCATTGTATAATTTTTCAAGGGATCTTATACGTGTTTCCACTCTTGTATGCTTTTCATACAAGTTTCATACAAGAGAGATAAAAACTTTATAAGATTTATATATATATCTTTTCCATATGGGCCCCTACACTTTTTACGTAGACCGGCTGCTCCAGTTCATTTGCTGATGGGTTTACCACGACTGAC